GTGTGTTTGTGAGTGTGTGTCTCTCTCCTGTGTGTGTGTTTGTGAGTGTGTGTTTCCCTCCTGTGTGTGTGTTTGTGAGTGTGTGTGTTTCCCTCCTCTGTGTGTTTGTGAGTGTGTGTCTCTCTCCTGTGTGTGTGTTTGTGAGTGTGTGTTTCCCTCCTGTGTGTGTGTTTGTGAGTGTGTGTGTTTCCCTCCTCTGTGTGTTTGTGAGTGTGTGTGTTTCCCTCCTCTGTGTGTTTGTGAGTGTGTGTGTCTCCCTCCCCTGTTTGTGTTTGTGAGTGTGTGTCTCCCTCCTCTGTGTGTGTTTGTGAGTGTGTGTGTTTCCCTCCTCTGTGTGTTTGTGAGTGTGTGTCTCTCTCCTGTGTGTGTGTTTGTGAGTGTGTGTTTCCCTCCTGTGTGTGTGTTTGTGAGTGTGTGTCTCTCTCCTCTGTGTGTGTTTGTGAGTGTGTGTTTCCCTCCTCTGTGTGTGTTTGTGAGTGTGTGCATCTCTCCTGTGAGTGTGTGTGTGTGTGTTTGTGAGTGTGTGTGTGTGTGTTTGTGAGTGTCTTTATCTGTGTCTGTATATGTCTTTGAATGTGTGTCTCCCCCCGTGTCTGTGAGTGCCTCTATTTGTGAGTGTGTGTCTCTCTGTGGGACTGTGTGTGTCTGTGTCTTTGAGTGTGTGTGTTTCTCTGTGTCTTTGTGTGTTTACTTGCCACCTTCAAGACCCAGCGCAAGAACCTTCTCTTCGACTGTGCTTTCGATCTCCCTGCTTCCCCCTCTCTCCTCCACCCTCCCCGACACCTCGCTCGGGTCCGTAACTCTGTCTGTCCAGCGCCTTGGGACATCCTCCCGATGTGAAAGGCATTTTACAAATATAATTTTGTTGTTGTTGTGGGTGTCTCTATTTGTGTGTGTCTGTGGGTCTGTGTCTGTGAGCGTGTCTCTCTCTGGGTCGGTGTGCAGCAGTGTCCCCAAGGGGCAGGAGGTGGTGACTTCAGGACACCGGCGAGCTTGGCAGGCAATGCTTGTGTTTGGAGGATCTCCAGGCCTTCAAATGTAGTGTTTGGGCCTGCGCTGGTGTTTCTTGACCCCACCCCCCCACACACACTACTACTACTCCTCAAGTGAGCCACCCAGGTTTGTTTTTACAAAAAATGCAATGATTTTTTGCAACGATCTAATATGTGTTATTTCTTAATGTTTAGTTTTCATCAATAAAAGTGAAAAAATGTAGGTTAGCAATAATATGTACCTTTCAATAGCACCAATTAACCCCCGTGCAATTTTCCGCAAAATGTGCTAAATTCCATCGCAATTTTGTCAAATATTTCTACAATTTTCTATTGGTCTTGCTCGTAAGGACTTTTTTATGTCACAGGCCCCAATATGTATGTTTCTGTTACAGAATTCCAAGCGATCAGGACAGATAGTGGAGAGGGAGCTTTACTCTATCTCTAATCTGCAATGTCACTGACCAGGGAGTGTGGACGTACAGTGTGGAGGGAGCTTTACTCTGTCTCTAACCCATACCGTGGCTGGCCCAGGAGTCCTACCTGACAAACTACCTTCATTTTTCTCCTCCCGGCCCGCCTGGTCATCTATGGCATCGCCCAGGCCTCCATCCTTGGCTCTCTCCTCTTCCTCATCGATATGCTCCCTCCTGGCGATGTTATCCGCAGATATGGGGGTAACTTCCTACCTTGAATACTACACACAGTGTTGGTCACTGCGACATTAGGAGGCTGCCCAGGCAGAGATGGACCAGAGGAGAGCAATGAGGATAATCCCCAGTGTTAAAGAAATGAGCTATATGAGCAATAATCAGACAAGTTAGGGCTCGTCGGTCTTGAGAGAAGACGACTCAGAGGGGACCTCATAGAGGGTATAAAATTTTAAATGGGATTGAAAAAGTAAATTCAGGTCAATACTTAGGATATATCAAGACAGTAAAACAAGAGGACATAAATTGCCTTTATGCAGCACCCTTCACAGGGGAACTGTTTCATAGTGTTTAAGTGGTGGAGCCTGGGAGAGAGGCGCGGTGACTGTAAGCACAGTCAAAGAGGAAGGTCTTCAGGTGGGATCTGAAGATGGGCAAGGAGGGGGCGAGGTTGTGGGATAGAGCCAGCGAGTTTCATAGTCTCGGGGCGTTGTGGCTGAAAACACAGCCACCGATGGTGTAGCGGCAGGCACGAGGGAAAGGCAAGAGACAGCAGCCAGCCAATTTGTGGTGGTCTCTGTCCGTCTGGGTGGGTGGATGTCCATCTGTGGGGGTGGTGTCCGTATGTGTCGGTGTATCTGGGGGGGTTGGGTATGCGTGTATTTGGGGGGCTATTTTGGAGTGTTTGCGTGCGTTGTTGGGGGGTTTCTGGGATGTTGGAAGTGGGGGGGGGGGGGAAGGTTGCTTGTGTATGTGGGTGGGTAGGGGGGATTTGTTTGGGTGGTGTCTCTCTATCCGTGGTGGTCTGTGTGTGTCACTTGGGGTGTCTGTCTGTGGGGGTGTCTGGAGGGATGTTTTGGGGTATCTGGGTGGGTTGTGGTGTATGGGGGTGTCTGGAGGGATATTTGGGGGTATCTGGGTGGGTTGTGGTGTATGGGGGTGTCTGGAGGGATGTTTTGGGGTATCTGGGTGGGTTGTGGTGTATGGGGGTGTCTGGAGGGATATTTGGGGGTATCTGGGTGGGTTGTGGTGTATGGGGGTGTCTGGAGGGATGTTTTGGGGTATCTGGGTGGGTTGTGGTGTATGGGGGGGTGTCAGTGGGGGGGGGTGTCAGTGGGTGGGGGGTGTCAGGGGGGGTGTCGTGGGGGGTGTCAGTGGGGGGTGTCAGTGGGGGGTGTGCAGTGGGGGGGGGGTGGTGCAGTGGGGGGGGTCGGGGGGTGTCAGTGGGGGTGCAGGGGGGTGGGGTTGTGTCGGGGGGGTGTCAGTGTCAGTGGCGTGGGGGTCGTGGGGGGGTGTCAGGTGGGTGGGGGGGGGTGTCAGTGGGGGGGGGTCAGTGGGGGGGGGTGTCAGTGGGTGGGGGGGTCAGTGGGTGGGTCGTGGGGGGGGGTGGAGTGGGGGTGTCAGTGGGTGGGGTCGGGGGGGGGTGTCAGT